AAAATTACAAAAAGTGACACTTTATGCACAAAAATCTGTTAACGAAAAAGGACTTTTCTAAACACGTGTTTCACAAAAATTATAATTTCTGCATACATCGAAATTTGATTGAGGAAGAAAAATATCCCGTATTCCGGTGTATGGTAGACACCATACCCTTTGGCCGGCTCTAAACTACATACCTATCGCCAAGGTATCAATCTGGTAATCAGAATCTGTAATTAATTTTGATCTCATCTTCATGGAAATATTATCCCAGTTTCTGATATGAATCGAATATGAGATGGATTCAGAATGGCAAATTCACTTCTTTGTATCGCCCATTGTATTTTTCTTTCTTAAAATACGTACAAAAAGACAACATAATTAGTACAGGGGAGAGTAAACTTGTACGGCTCGGCGGGCAATACGGTTCATCAGGTTTTCTCCATAATTATGAAATTAATATTTGTTTTCTTTTTTTTCATACGAATTATTTAATATCGCGATGTAATTTTCGAAGAAATTTCACTTCATCTACTAATTTGAATATAAAAAAACATATAGCGAAGTTTCGAGATCCTTACGATCTAAAATCTGGGGCCCAGTAAATAAGATTTTTCGTAGTTTTAAGCCCCACATTCGTATGTTTAACTGTTGATTATCGATTCGTGGCAGTTCCTGCTTCCATTGCAGATCAATAGAATTTCTTCATTCTCTTCCAATAAATAATTATTGTTAATTTCTTCAACACTGCGCAGAGCCGGTAATATGGCTCACCTGGTTCGTGTAATATCGCTCGATTGGCGACCAGTACCACTCGGGGTTTGACAGCTCGTCAGTGTAAACGTGGGATTAGGATTGAACGACATCACGTAAATATAACATAATTATTGTTTTTTTTAAAGGAAAACATTCGATAATGAATGATGGGAACGTGATCAACATAAATGAAACTGTAGATAGTTTGAATACTCTATTAAAGTCTTGAAATCAGACAATGGATACTGAGGTTAGATTTTGCGCTGTTGTTTTGTAGAAATGCAACGAAAAAAGAAACCAGAGGAGAACATAAAAGGAAAATGGACAGAGGAAGAGTTAGCTTCAGCTTCGGAGGCTGTAAGAGGTGGTTTGTCATACCGCAAAGCTGAAGAGATTGATAATATGCCATTCACTACTTTAAGTGCTGATGATTTTGAATGTGATAAACACGGAGAGAAAAGTCGGGGAAAAATTCTAGTGCTCGGCACCAGAAACGAGGCGCAAACTGCCAAACTCCCATATTTTAATCGAAATAAGAATAAAAATTCTAGATCAGCACGGAAATTTTGCTGTAAGTTGATCAATTTTTGCAAAGAAGCACGAGAAAAATTCTAGAGCTGGCACTAGAAAATTTCCCGGTGTGTCAATTTTGTGGGGAATTCCGTAGAAAATTGTGGGAAAAACTTGATTAATTCTTGGTAACATTAGAAATTTTATTGTGCAGTTGGAGAATTTTTCTAGTGCTAGCACTGGAATTTTTGCCATTCTTCCTATCCTCGTACGTGTCCGCGCGACATCTGCAACGTTCAGCTCGCCGAAGTGAGTCGAACAGCTGCACTCGGGAGTCCCGAGTGGAGACTTACAAATGGCGTCTTCAACGTCGGATAATGTTAGTGCGTGTTCTGTAGAATTATGTGACAATCAGGGATTATTGGGCTTATTTTTCTCTGAAAGTGTGATTAACCATATCAAATTTGTGGGAAAACAAGTGTGAAGCAGCCGGTCGTAGAAATTGTTGAAAATTGACATTATTCGGTGATGACGTTTTAAGATAATGTAATTCCCTGTAATCGTGGAACAAATGCAATAAAAAAAATCTATAAAAATAATTCGTTGGCTTAAGGCTCATTTTTGTTGATACTGCAGTACATTAATTTGAATAACGTTGATGTTATTAATGAATAATTAACGGAAAAAAAAATTATGGCCGGGAACAATTTTTTTGTCTGTCGGGTAATTTTTCGTTTGCCTATACAGAAGATTTCGTGATGAAACGTCAAATTTTCTAGTGCCAAAGGGGAAATTTTCATATGCTGGCACATTACGCCTCAATTCTAGTGCAGCACTAGAATTTTTCCCGAAATTTCCCCACAAAAATTCTCTGTCTTTTCTCTCCGTGAATGTACAAAAATCTAAAATATTTTCTATTCGACATCCCTAGGAATTAAACCAAACATAATTTTACATTTTTTAACCTAAAAGAGAAATAAATACTTAAGGAAAATGCATTATTATAATTATATATGTTAGAGTTACTTCCGAAACTGATACTGAAGCATAATCTAACGATGTTAAAAAAGAAATATCAAAGACTCTTTTATGATGTGTGATAATAATAAAAACAAGTAGGGGGCTGAGCCTATTCGACTGAAGAGATATGACTGTTTCTTTACGCATTGTTAGTCTTTTTATCTTTCATCTCTACCCATTTTATTCGCAGTAAGCTTCTGAATGGATCCGTTGCAATTCTATTTTTTAAAAAACGCTGGCTCCCTCGTTGGGGTGTGACCGGTACGGATTGGTGGAATTGGGTGTGGCCCATTATGGGTCGAACCACTAGAGTGCTAAGAATTTTTTTTTTTAAACCGAAAAATTGAAATATCTCGAAAACTTTGTACGAATGGGTATACATATTTTGATCGATATAGATAGAGCATATCGAGACGAATATTTTGAAAAAAAAAATTTTAATCGATTGGATAGTTTCCGAGATATTTGCGAAAAATGTTCCAGAAACAGATGGCGATTTCTCAGAAACGGCTGGACCGATTGAGCTGAATCTGGGTGCACACTTAGTCCTTAGTAATACCTATAATCTCACAAAATTTCAGATTTTTCGGAACAACTTTGGTCCTTTATTCCTTCAATTTTCTAAAAGTTGACCATCAAGTGGGTCAAATTGACCATGCGCACATACACACATGGTGCCCAATTTTTGTATTTTTACGTTTCAGACCATTCTACACCATTTCCAAGCCAAATTAGAGAATCGAAAAATCGGACGATATCAAAGCTTCCGTTCGGAAGCAAAATTTCAGTTTCTGTCAGAAGCAAATTCTCCGATTTTCTCAATTTTCAAGTAAAACAAGAGGAAACTTCGTGCCAAACTTCAGATTAATATGTCTTTTTTTTTCCAAAGTTAGAGTGCAAAGACGGATTTTTAGCGAAAAATTTGAATTTCTCAGGAACTTTGCATGAATCACTTGCATGAATTGTACATATTCCAATTGGCTGGAATAGGAGACATTGAGATGAACATTTGAAATAAAAATTGAAATCGGTTGAGTAGTTTTTGAGATATTCAAGAAAATAGATTTGGATACAAAGTCGAATATCTCCTAAACTATCTATCCGATTTAGCCCATCTTCAATACCAAACATTTGAGTGCCAAGAGCAAACTTTGTACCGAATTTCAAGTTAATATGTCAATTTTTAAGAAAACTAGAGTGCTAACAAAAGTTCTCAGCGAATAACAGAAAAATAGAGTTATCTCGAAAACTTTGTATCAACGGATATAGATATTTTGATAGATTACGATAGAGGATATCAAGACGAGTATTTGAAAAAAAAATTGAAATCGGTTAGATAGTTTTCAGGATATTTGCAAAAAACCATTTAAAAACAAATGATGATTTCTCAAAAAATGGCTGAACCGATTCAGCTGAACTTTAGCACAGACTTAGTCCTCATTAATACCTACGATCTCTCAAAATTTCAAATTTTTTGGTATCATTTTAGCGCTATATTCATTTAATTTTCTAAAATTTGACCATCAAGTGGACCAAGTTGCCCACGCGCACATACATACATGGTCCTCAAACTTCCTGTTTTTACATTTCAGACCGTACTACGTTATTTCCAGGAAAAATTACAGAATCGAAAAATCGAACGATTTTAAAGCTTCCATGCGGAAGCCAAAAATGAGTTAAAATCGATCTATTTTTTTTCATAACTCTGTTGAATCTACATGAGGTAGGAACTTTATTTCTGTCGAAACCACTCGAATCAACTTAAATAATTAATGGGAAAATTATCACATGATTCACAATTTTACATAGGAAACACCAAATAGTGTTATTAATTCAACTTGAAATTTTCTTTAAAAAAAATGCATGCATTGTATTCACTTATTTCGTTTGATTTTCTTTCCTGTCACTTGACAGCGGTTGATTTTACGTTAGGTTGCGATGCGAGCATTATAGGCAGCGAAGTGAGCAATATTGAAATCGTACTGAGCCTTGTTACCCGCTGGCGGGTAATAAGGCACAATAGGCTCCCACTTTCGTTTTTCATTTATTTAGTAAAATTGGAAAAGAGTTAGATCTCTACACTTCAGAAATAACATTTTGAATAATCAAGTGAAAAATTGCAATCATTGTTTATATTTGAAGTTAAGGTTTTAAATCTAAAATTTGCATTTTCTCTTAGGTGAGCCATACATGGATACCCTCTCCTATTTTGATATGAGTGAGACGGAAGTTCCACGAGTGTGAAGTTGGCGGCCCGAAGCGAAGCCGGGGGCTGCGAATCACACGAGCTGAAAATCACCGTCTCGAATGTGTCGAACTATTACATTGTGTTACTAGTGGGTAAAGTGAATTCTCGTGCATGAAGTGAAGTGAATGCTCTTGAACTTTGAGCACTCGTGAACTTAATGCACGCCATGCGGAAAACAACTTTTGAGGCAGTGGACTTTTGAGGCAGGCATCACACAAAATATTTTTTGACAGTGATGTTATGCTGAGCGAGTGGCCCAACTGTACCTTTTTCGCTTAGAAGTAAACTAAAAGACTTTTTATTTACTATTCCTTTATGAGTAAACGGACAGACACTTTTCGGTATGAGGTGAACATAGCAGCAGTGTCACAAAATATTGTTTGTCTGTCAGTTGTTGATTAAACGTTCGCTCGAAATCAGACATTCAATTCGATATTCCGATATTAAGAAATACAAATTTCCTTGTACATTCATTAATGCAATGAGCATATTCAAGATCGCCTATGGTCTACTGCTATTGAATTTAGTTGTTGGAATATCCGCCGTCAGTGAGAAGCCAGAAGTTTTCTCAACCGATGAATATATTAATGACGAAACAGTGCCAGTCACTGATGAGGTTATGGATCCAAACATAGAAATAAATGATACAGTTGATGACGAAGATCTGGAAGGAGGAACAGATGCCACGTGGGATAGAAATCGCGCTGTACGTGACGTGGCGTATTATTTAAGAGCCCATAAATTTCTAGACTATGATCATCGTTATTACAAGATAAATGAGGAATCATTTGTGAAACTCTACCAAGATTTTCCTAAGCCCCCATTAAGATCGTTAAACTGGGAAGTCCATCAATATTGCATGGATGGCTTCACCAATTGCCTGAAGTATCTCGATACCACTGTACAATTGACCTCATTGAAGCGGTCTGACGATACTATCACAATCATGAAACAGAACAACTGGAATCCCGTGAATAATAGCCAACAGATTTTATCGATACAGAAGGACTGTCAACTAGCGCAGCGTCGAGATAATCTGACATTCATCCCTTTTCAAGGACCCATTGGTAAAGTTAAATGGATTCAAGTTGTTGTTTAGATTTTGACATAAATTAATTATTGCGATTGATTCAGAGAGATTTCAGTGGCGTACATCAGCTAGTTATTACATGTGTTGGTACACAATGCTGGAAAGTCCGGAGCTCGGACTTTTCGGTGAAACCTGTGATAATCATGCCAATTGCTTGGATATCTATGGTAGCAACAACAAAGATCCAAGAGCAGATGACAGTAAGCCATTTGCTTGTGCAATGTATAGTTTTTGTCCAGATCACTGTTGTCCCATGAAACACATCTGGTACATGGAGGAGTGTTTCCAGAGCGATGAAAACCCGTGCTATCATGTCAATCGTCCAGGTTCTCCTTTACCCCACGATTTTGCTGATTATCATTTCATTACTGAAATTGAGAATTGTTTGTTTCAGCTGCTAGAAAATGTTCACTGAGGCGAGAGAGTAATCAAGATTTTAATGCATTAATGGGCAATCAGATGAATTTCAGTTGTATATGCCTGATTGGGGGATATGAATGGTCCTCGAGATTTGGTTTGTGTGTTGATGTGAATGAATGCACGAGAGGTCTTCACAATTGCTCTTTCAAGGATGGCCAGACTTGTGTCAATCTACCTGGTAGTTTTGACTGTTTGTGCCAATTTGGACTGGTCTGGAATAGCGACGTGCGTAAATGTGAGATTAGTAATATCTTCGAAAGTATCCTAGAGAACATATTGAACGACAAGAATTTAAAAAGCAAGGACAATTTCATGACGACTTTTGTCAAAACTTTGGCTAGGTCAGTAGCAAGTCTACCGCGCTCAGATCATTTAATCCTATTTTTGTGTGTTTGCTTCAATCAATTCTAATACGAAATCTATAATACCAACTCTATATCTTCATGTATGCTAAAAGAGAGAATATGAATTCAAAAGGTTGTAGTTGACATATTTGTCAACTACATTGACAGGATATTTTTTCCAAATAAAAGGATAGTTTTTCAATTACAATTTGTTTGATTGAAAAGGAAAGAATTCATTTATAATGAGAGTATTGCCCAAAACAAGACAAATGAGGGCAACCGGAGCTCGTCAAGTCAATTATTGGTAGAGATTGAATTCTAATTATGAGTTACTATTAACAATAAAACGTATATTCAAACGTGAAGATTTTTTCGTAAATTCTCTCAACTTTTTGAGAAAATTGTTTTCTAGAAATTTACATATGGGACATTCCATGTTAACTCAGCCACCCCGGATTTTTTTTTGTATAGAAAAAATGATTTGATTGCCGCATTTCGAACTACTATATAGACTACTATATAGACAGTATTCCTGCCAAATTTCATTGCCTCATGATTTTTTGTTTCTGAGATAATGACTACCAAACTTTAAATTTTCAAAAATTCATAACTTTTGAATGGCGCATCCGATTCGAACAAATAAAAAAAGAAAATTTTTATTTTCGTTCATACTTTAAGGGAAAAAATACTCCATAGGCGTGAAGAAGCTTCTACACCTATTTTTCGATGAATTTTTAAGTTTTTTTTTTCGGCTCCAGGGCCATGCGGTATTTGACTGCAATATTTTTTTTCTGATAGAGCACGTCCGTATATGATGTAAAAATATACGTCAACATGGGAGAGATAACCAGTGCACTGGAAAAAATTTTTGTTTCCTAAATTTTCGTGTTTTTCCGCTTTCTAGGGGAGCCGCCTCGTCTTTATTAAGAAATTGATATTTCAATCCATACCTTTGATGAATATGAGGTAGAAAAGAGATCCATCACGTTAGAAAAGAGAAACAATGCGTCGGGAAAAAAATGTTCTCTGAAATTTTTGATTTTTTTCGCTATCTATGAGAGCTAACCAAAGAAACAAATGTGTCAATCAATATTTTTTGCTCATAACGATGAAAAGGAAAGCCATCATAGAAGAGACAAGCAGTACACCAGAAATATGTGATTTCTTCGCAATTTTCTTATTTTTTCTCCTTTTCTCTTTTTCTTCTTCTTTTCAACCTTTTTTTTGCGTCTTTCATCTTTCAATCGACAGTTTTCCTTTCTGCTAGATGGGAGGGACTATCAACAACATTGTAAACCTCTTTCGAAAGACAACGTACTCATCCAAAGAAGTGCGAAACATGGAAAAACAAGTTTTATTTTACTGTAACGAGCTTTTTACATTGTTACAATAAGAGGGTATTATTAACCGTCTCCAATGACCACTTGCCCAATTGCACTGATTTACTATACATATATTCATCACGACTACTGTTTTCTAAGTGCTTTCCGTTTTGTTGTTGTTTGTTTCCGTTTCGAAAAATCTTCTTGGTTTTCCGCAGTCGAATATCGTTTCATTAACAATTACTCTTCCGGTTTTGGAATGAAACAATGATGTTTTTGAGTGGCTGGAATAGCTTTGACACTATAAAATTTTTCCATTAATTCAGTTTTTATATTCTCATGTTCGTTCTTGGTGAAAAAAAACATATCAATTCCTTTGAAATTTTCTTTTGACCATCGAAACAAAGCATCTGGCGTCAGGATGGGTTCACCATAAACGATTTGCAAGCTTCGATGTCTCGCTTCTCTTTTGAAAACAGCACCCGCACCGTCACAAGCTCCTTTACCGTATGCGGTTGCATGGAAATGGGCCTCTGCATCTATTCCAAAATCAGTCTTGTGATGCAGAAGATTAGCCATTTGGTAACGATTCTTGTAATGCTATGCAGCTCCATCGGTGACATAGATGATTCTCTCGACATCTTTGCAGTTATTCTTCACATGTTGTATTAGAATTTTCTGTACCAAGTAAACAGCTGCGGTATCGTGAGTAGTACTATCTGACAAAACAACTAAATTCCGATGCTGGAACTCGTTTCCTTCGCGACATTAGTAAATAACGGGATGGACTGTACATTGGTCATTGTGGTAGTGGAATAATTGAGTAGCATCTTGAGCCACAAAGGCATAATTTTCTGAGAAATCACAGTGCACTAGTACTTCGCCGTTATTCAAATTCTCTTTTCAATCTTTAACAAAAGCTGATTGTTCTTTAGCGATGAAGTGATGGGGTTTTAATACTTTTAATCGTTCGACAAGAAGATCGACGAAGTCATCCATCGCAAGCGTTTGTGTCTGCAAGGTACACCTGTCAGTAGTTTGCCACACGCGAAATTGGACAGTTTCGACAACAGAATCAGAAAGGAGCTTCTTCAATTCACATGAGAAGGGTTTCACCCCAGGGCAGTCGTTACATTCATCCAGATAACAGGCCGGGGTTAGATTTGTACATATCAGTTGTGCTAGACAATCTTTGTAATCCTTGAGTGGGCAGGGGGAATTTTTAGTTAGAGTGGCAATGTTGATGGCTTCGAGCATCAATTTGCAATTTTGAAGATATGTGCAAACACATACCACGTGAGTGCCATTATATAGTTGGAATGTCATTGAAATGAATTTACGCGGAACTGATTTCAGATGTGACTGAAATTCCTCGACTGTGAATTGAAGAATGACAAAGAGCTAAACCAGAGATGGGCAAAGTCCAGGTAGCTCGGAGCTACTGCAATAAAACCAATTAGGAAGGGTATAGATTTTACAACCCTTCCAATTACAGAGGTCTCAGTAAGATCATAGTAGGGGTAACGAAATGAGGGCAGTGGAGATAGCTGTATGAAGAGTGCCTCACGCGGCGAGTGCGAAATGTGAAATTTCCTCCAACCGCTCAACATGTTGTTTTTTTTTTTAATTTAATTTAATTTGTGATTTAAGAGTAAACTACTATGAGTTCTCAAAGTCGCAGACTATTGAAGTAATATTTGGCATACATTGAAGATGGATTAAAAATATATAAAATCAAAGAATTAGTGTGTAAACACAGTTTTACTATCCGTTTGCCACACAAACGGTTGGATATTGAAAATAGTCCAGTCTCCTCAGTTTTTGAGTGACATAAATTTTTATCCAATTTTTCAAAAAATGTATAGAAGTATTACTAGAAATTACTCCTTTAATTTTTGTTATATCAAACGAATCAAACATAAATATTTTGAGAATACATATTCTAGCTATTTTGCATAAATAGGATGATTTTTCATTTTGAAAAATAAAATAAAATTGGCCATTTTAAGGTCGAATTAAAAAGAAGCAATTTTTCAGAGTTAGTCAACACATTTTTTGAATAAATAGGAAAAGAACAAAAACTATAAAAAGTTGAGGGCACTGTATTATTTTCAATATTTCACGTGTCTACACAAAAAACCAACAATAAACAATTTTTCCACTGAAATTTCATTCACTTCTTTCCCACAGCACTTACGCTTGTCTGTCATTAACCTGTCAATGTGATTGTCCAACAGAATATATAAAAAATTGATACTATTTTAAGGGGAGACTACTGAGTTTTAACAGTCGCTGCGGATTGGAATGAGAAAAACGAATAATTAGTGCAAAAAAATAAATTATTTATAGTCCATTTGCCCCATACACGCTTAAAATGTTAAAAGTTATCCAGGGCCTCCAATTTTTGAGCTACAGAGTTTTTTTTTCAAAATTGAAAAAAAATGTGTACAATAACAATTACGAGTTAGTTTCTCGTAATTCGGTTCCTACATAGCTAATTTCGTTTTGTTTAATATAAAAATGTAAAATGAAATTAAAGAAATGAGCAGATTCACGGCAAGTCAGCAGGCCAAAAAAGTCGATGTTGGGGATATATGTCTTAATTTTTTTCTGAAAAGATTCGACAAATTTTGAAAAAAAAATTGATTATTGAGGAAGTCATAATTTTCAGAAAATGACAAATTTTTGTCCAAATTTGTTTTCCGAATATGCCTTAATATTTCTGCGGTGTTTCAAGCTGTCAAATCGCCCTTTTAGAATTTTAGGAATGTTAGGCATACATATTTTTTTTAGTTACAAAACAAATGTTCACGTATATCTACTATAGTTTCCTCACAGTAAGTATTATTAATAATTTTTCTGAACTCAAGAGTTTTAACTTAAAAAGGATTTCAAGAAACAAAATATATATTGCAGAAGTTTTAATATTATCGCACTCTCCGGAGTATCACACAAACCCACGCCTTCCCGGGCTGAGTCCGTCGGAGGGGGCCCCATAAAGAGGGTCATAAAAGTCCTGCGCCCGGTACAAAGGAACCTATTCAACCTATTGTTACCGAGCTAATTGGGTCCGGGAGCTACGATCAGTGTATAGGCGCTTTGTGCCCTTCCCTGAGCTAAACGCTTCACTAGCGCTAATCCTGATATCACTTCCTCATCATTAATGTTATGAATGATGATAATGTGCAATATATGTAAATGAAGAAGAAATCCTCAATCCACAATCCTCACCATACAGAGATTTTTTATCACATAAAAAAATACAGTTTTTTTTCATCATTCGGACAGCTTTTAACATCATAGTCGAATAAATGGTATTTCCAATAATAAAATAGTACTCTATGAAATACACAAAATTCGTTAATAATTCTGAAAGTGGATTGGGTACGAAGTTTGACAAATCTCAAAATGAAATGAGTAAATTCAAGAACTTGAATGAGTAGTGACTCAAAAAAATCCCTCCACAGAAAAAGCCTCATTGTACATATTGCAGATAGCATGTGAATCTATTGATAAAAACAAGTGTTATAAAATTGAAGAATGAATTCACTCATCACTTAATTGATTATAAAACTGTTTTCAAACAAGTATATCAAACGAATTATAGGTTGTGAGGTATTTTTCCAAGCGCGTCTGCGGGATTCAGACGCGTGGTTGTCCACGAACTTCCAGCGA